AGCTGGAGAAAGAAATGGTCAGGGTTTAGCGAGGAAGAAGATGAATGCGTGAAATGGAGTGAAATGTTTCAGAGAAATCATTTTCTCTTCCTCGTCAACCAGCCATGCATTCACGCACTGCCACCTGGTTTTCCACTACCGCTTTAGAAGCTTCTGACGTGACAGAATGGCGTCAGCGCACGCAGAGGGTAAATTTCCCTTCCCACGCAGAACGATCGTCCAATCCACTGCATGCCACTTGTTTTCCACCAACTTTTCTGGAACGCTCCCTCAGTGACACATGGCAGGCTCATGCAGATTGGGTTTGACGTGTCAAAATGCTTTTAATGGTGATTAAAGAGTGTGATTTGGTGCGTTAATTATTTAGGGTTTCACAGAAAAAGATTTCCAGAGAGAGGTAAGGGAAATTATTTGAATTTAATTAATTTGAGTGAATTTCAGTAAACTATAGGTTAAATAATTGAGAATGAGTTATATTGATTAGGCCTTTAGGTTTGGGTTATTTGAGAAAGTCAAACTATAATTTTGAATGTTATATTAGAGTATACATAGAAAATTTAAATGAGTTGAATTAAAATAATGTTTATTTAAAAGTAAAATTAATTACTTTGGATTTGAATTTATATGCTGAAATTTTCAATTCAATTGAATTTTTTTCAATTGTTGCCTTATGCATACATCACTCATGGTTACTGAAGTGAGATTCAAGTAATAATATTTAATGTTGTTGTAAAGCTCATCGCTCAAACCGTAACGCTCTATATTGTGATACTTTTTTTGTGATTGAATTTATATAAATGTGCATATATCTATATTATGATATTATTATTAATCGGATATATATATATATATATATATATATATATATATATATATATATGAGATGAATTTGTTGTGTTGAATTTTATTAAATTTGATTAATTGTGAATGCTAATTACCTACATGATAATTGACCTCGACGAGATATGTGATATGTATAGACTAATATAAAGGAGATAGAAATGTCTCACTAATTTTTAGTTATATATAAATGTAATTTTTAGCTAGATTAATTGTTGTTATATGATTATTCAATTAATTTTTGGATACTATGATTATCTAAGAAGCTAGGTTGTATCATATCAATGAAATGATCACTTTTAAATAATTATTATGTCGGATGAAAATTAACTTACGACAAAACATGATTAGTATGAATGGACCATGATTAGGTCGTTAGTAATCAAAGTTCATATCAAAATTTATAAATACAAGTTTAAGGTAAAAAGGTAAATAATTGCATATTACGTATTAATCATTCAACTTGTCAGAGCTTTATTAACTTTGGCATGAGAATACCTTATGCAGGTAACCTCCTAGTTCAATCAAACAGTTTGAAGGATGAATGGTGACGAAGACGAGCATTAGGACATACAAGATTTAGTAAACAAATAATCTTGACCCCATAACCGAAACATTTTGGTGATATCTCTAATTTCTGGAAAGGGGAGGCGATTATTACTTTGTTCAATGACTCTTTTAAGGGATTCAAGACATTAACATCTTCTTACGTGCGGGCAAATGCAAAAGAAGAATATAAAGCAAGGAGTAGTAGGAGTGAGATTGAGGACCTTGCAAATCACCTCAAAATGCTATACATCTTCCACAGCTTTAACCAAGGCCACACTTCCAACAAAATCCTCCAAAGAGTATCTGGTATTGAAGTAGGACACATACTCCCCAACTTCATGAGGAGCCCAATTGTGCCTTGGAATGGGCGACACAAATGCACACGACCTATCCCAATCCCTAGTGGCATCCATTTTTATCACGACTACTTCTCCTACATTTTCTCGAGCAACGACATTATTCTTATTTACTTTAGCCTCCTCGTCTCTCGATTCTATGTCCCGATCGATTGACCTGAAGATGGAAGAGTCAATTGAGGACACTAATGATGACGACGTGCCATTGGCAAACCCTCGGCCTTCCCTCCCCTCAGACTCCTAATACAAGACACAAGAACGGTAGATATTATTACCTTAAAGAGAAGGAAAGATATAAACGCTCATTTCTTCAAAGAAGATTGAGAGCAATGATGAAAATGACGTTGAGTCTCACCTCTATTTATAGCCAAAATGAGCGCCCTAATAGACTACCCCACATAGTCAAATCAAGAAGGATATGACAATACACATATTGCGACCCTTCGTTTCCCAAGCACGAATACCAATATGCCACGTGTCCCTTTCCCAACGGTTGTAACTTCCCTCAATTGTCACATCCTTTCAAATCATGGCCAACGATTACAATCGTTCAACCTATCACTCACGAAGACAATTAAAACTCTCCTGAAACATCCAACATCTTTTGCAACAAATCCCTTTGCCTATCACGATAGCTTGAGTTTGGAGGGCTTGTGTATTCTTCCGACGAATTTGGAATGGACGATCCATGTAGTCAAGAGTATCACGACGACCACCTAAGAAGCTTAACAATTGTATCATACAGACTGAACGATCACCCTTAAATAATGATTAGGCCCGGTGAAGATTAACTTATGATAAAACATGATTAACATCAATTTGGTCACGGTTAGGTCGTCGGTAATCCAAAATTCATTCTAAATCTATATTGGAGATAGAAAAATAAGTAATTACATTTATTATGTATTAACGGTTGAAGTTGCGAGACCTTTACGAACTTTGACATCAAAATACATAACTTTCCAATTTGACCAAACGATTTGAAAGATAAACGATAAGAAAAACAAACATAAGAGTAAACAAATAATCTCAACCCATAATATAAACATGGTAATTTCTGATTCACTAATTTCTTTTATTTTTAAAAATAAAGTTAAACGTAAGCTTGTTATTTCTTCTTTTCACATCGTTAAAATTATTGGTCAAACATCTGGAACTGAAATAATATTTCGTGGTCGCGCTTAATATATATTTTTCAAAAATATAAATCCTGTTGTAATTCTAGAAACCAAATAAAAATGACTGTCATAGAAAAATAAATTTGTAAACGTATATGATGTATTTTACAAAAAATATACATGACCATTAAATAATTTAATTACAAAAAACCTATTCTATTTTTTATTATAATTTGTTGTCACTTAGGTGATTATAATTATATATATATATATATATATATGAGGCATATAATAACAGTAGAGATTGGTTTAATGATCTTAAATCTGAGCAGGGATGTTTAATTTTAAAATTTAAATATTTATATATATTTATTTTTTCCTTTATTCAAATATTTAATAATTATATACTCCACTTTAATTTATTAGGTATATTTACGTTGATTACGTTTGTTTATGGCATATATGTTATAAGGTGGTATATTGAATTTTTTAGGAAGTTGTAAATGTTCCCTCATTCGCACTTTTTAATAATTTTAATTTATTTCAAAACAATTAATGTTTTCAATTTATATATTTTCTAGTTTATCTTCACAAATTATCTCAGTAATTAATAAATAAGTAAAGGACAAAACTTACCTACCTAATGTATAGGTATTATATTATTAGTACGGGCCTCCAATCAAATTTAAAATTTCACTTTCAAATTTAATAAAATTTATGAAAATTAAATTTCAAATTTAATAGTTAAAAAGCGACATATTTTAAAATTTTAAAATAAATATAATGTATTTATTATGAACTAGACTTAGTGAAAAAAAATCAGATTCCATCACATCAGATCTCATCCAAATTAGAATCCAGAATCCGAATGTTAATCGTTTTGTGTTGACGAAAGAACGAACGAAAAATTAACGTTCAACGAATTTTCTTTCGTTCTCGCGAGAAACACAATTAGTTATACAATTAAGACAAGAATGAACGAATGAATCACCTGGCGTGGAAAGCCAGCGGAACGAGCTCCGCCAGCGGCGTCGGTGACGGCGATGGTGATGGCGCCGGGGAGTTCCGGCAGAGCGGACACGTGGCACTCATCTTCAGCCACTCGTCCACGCAGTCCGCGTGAAAGCAGTGGTGGCAGCTCGGAACGCAGCGTACGGTGTCCTTGGGAAGGTAGTCGCAGAGGCAGATGGCGCAGGAGCCGCTGTCGTTGGGCCTGGGGAGGCGGCCGCTCTCTCCTACCACGATCTTCGGGTAGGCCTCGATGGCGGGCTTTTCCAGGCCCAGGACGACGAGTTCGGGCCCACCGGAATCGTGAACGCTGATATTCTGTTCCGTTTGGTCGTAATAAGTGTTGTTGCGAGTGCGAGGAGAGTTTGATTTGAAGCGGACGCAGGCGTAGGAGGCGAGCATGATGGAGGAGATGAGGACGAGGATGCTGACGGCGATGGCAATGCCGTAGCCGAGACCAACGCCGGCGGTGGTAGCGGCGGCCGAGGGTGGCGGAGACGCCGCGAACATGACAGAGAGAATTGGGTAAAGTTTGGTTGGTTTTAGTTTGGAAGCGTAATAGGAAGGAAGAGTTTAATTGAAAGAGTGAGAGAGTTGGAGTGCGTGATTAGAAGCGCGTTTCGCGGGAAAAAAATTAAATGACTTCAGACACTGTGACATTGACATTCCGTTATAATAAAACCCTAATATATTTCTCATATTTTACTCTTTCATCTATCCGTTACTTTATAAAGAAAAAAAAAAGAAAATGTATATATATATATATATAGTTTATTGGTATTAATATGTTTTTGTTAATTTATTTATTAATTTTCAACAGTGTGCGGGATCTAGAGGATACATGGAACTTGTTTCATTTCAAATCATAATGGATAAGTTTTTCTTTGATTTCAAGCAAATTATGAGATCTTTATGTGGATCTAGGGATTTGTGAGATTCAAATTTAAGCTTAATAAAAGCTTTAATCAGAAGTTTCTTTTTACAATTTCCGTGTAATTGTTAAAGATGAAAAATACACTATAAGATAATAAAGATCGTTGGTATAATAATTTAAGTAGAGATATATGATGCTCTAACATTCCAATAATTGATGGTCATCAAAGTGACTGTGAAAATATTCATGAAGGAAAGCACACATTAGTCAAAGACAAATTTATCAAATTCATGGTCACTTCAAGTAGATTTGAAAGAAAATTTTTAAATACAATTTGTTCATGAAGAAGATTATAATTGAAATTAATTTGTTATTTCATGTTTTTTTTTTTGTTTTCAAACATTTATTGTGGGGACTTTTCTTTATTTTTAATTTATGATTATCAAATAAATTCAATGTATCTTTTTTACTTTTTTATTTTATTAGATATTGGAGTCAAATTATTTTTAATTCAAAAGTATATACATTTAATAATATATAATATTTACATTTAATATATATACTATCAAAATATAATTTAAAATTATGTGTGAAGAGGGAGAGCTTAATATAAGCCAAGTGTAAGATCCAAAAAATATAGCCAAAAACTATATATATGAGTCATCACATATATGATATGATAGAACAGTTATCCAAAATAACCATAGAATTTAAACTTTATATACACTAGTTCAAAACTATCTACACTATGGATATAACTAATCTATAAAGTCGCATATGCTCCATCCAACGCCTCCTCCAGGGAAACCTCATCTCCCTCTACTCACACTCACATGATGATCATTGCAAAAGAAAGAAAATAGCACTTACAAAGACAAACACAAACAGAAGGGTAAGCTAGATATAAAAGATTCATATCTTAATAAAACATACAATCACAACTTAATTCAAGCATATGAAATAATTGACTTTAAACATCCAAATATATATATATATATATATATATATATATATATATATATATATATATATATATATATATATATATATATATATATATATATATATATATCGTGACTTAGACTTGACCGTCCGAACATAGAATGAACACCGAGCTATGAAGGGTTGTGCACTTGTGGTGGTCTCTACTGCTTTGCAAAGCCATTTCCATGAGTTTCACCCTACCACACACACAAGGTTAGTCTGTTACCACGTAATAGGCCTCCAAGTAGCGCCTACACTAGGACCTCTTACTACTCTCACCACATGAATCAATCCTCTCTATGTGAGAATGAAAGGTCATTAGAGTGTTAGGATAATTCCCAATACTCAGCTCCTGCATTCATTCTAAACAAACTTGAATGTCACCAAGAGAATTCCATATTGAAACTAACCACACCATTTTGAAAACATCCTTCATTCCCCTTTGAATCTCAACTCAAATATTTGATATTCTTATAATTTAGTACACATTCATACATCATCTAAATTAATTAACTACATTCATTCAAATCAAATAAGAAATCAAGAAAAGAGCCACTAGAACTTGAACCATTCGCTCAGCGCATACCCTCGCTGAGCGAATCTAGAGGTTTCTTGCACAACTGTCCCTCTCACTATGCGAGTAAACTTACAATGGTACCAGACCTCAATCCCTCGCATAGCGTCCCAAACTACTATGTGAAAACCCGAACAATGGTTCAGACCCCCCAAACACTCGCTAGGCACACCCCTTTGCTATTCGAATAATTGGCAGTGATCCTAGACCACAACCATGTGCTCAGCGCATTATCTCGCTGTGCGAATCCTCAGACAGAGAGCCAACCCCCACAACCATTCGCACAACGCACCTTATCGCTGTGCGACTGCTTCAATAGAGAGCAACTCGCCATGACTACTCGTTGTGCGAATCTATTCGCTTAGCGAGTCTGCATAATTCAACAGTGCCAATTCTGCAGAATTAAGCAACTCACTCCAAGTTTACCAATTCTAACTATTTTTCCCAACTTCTAACTCTCCTAAATTGTGTTATATACCTAATTGGAATTGACTAAACATTTCTAACCCTTCCTATCATCAATCTAAAGTGTTTATGAGCAAATTCTTTTTTCAAAACTCCAAATTCCTCAACTTAGGAACCCAAATCTAATTCTACCACTTTTGACATGTTTTTGAGTAACTTAAGAGCTCAAACCAGTCCTATTTGACTTACCAAAACCTTCCCCAAAGACTAAATGCACACTAAACCCCAAATTCTCATTTTCACTACTCCACTTCCTCTAAACTAACTCTAAACCACAACAATGTGACTCTATTCACAACCAAACCATATTATCACAAATTTCTACCATTCCACATAATCAATCACAAATCAAACATCATCCAAATTCATTTAAGTATCACCATTCCACAATTGCACACTCAAAATGGTCAAGTTACACATCATACATTTATTCAAAAACCTAACTTAAGATCTTTCACACAAGAAATTTAGAATTATTACACATACATACTAAATCCTTAGTTAAAGCAATAATCTAACTTCCCTTACCTCGTCTAAACTTGGCACAGCTCACAGAAACCTTGATAGTTTACTTGCATCACAAGGAAATTCTAGAAACACTTACAAATCACCAATCGGTGATAGAAAACGACTCTTAGAACTTAAATTTAACCAAAAATCAAGAGAAAGAGATTCCAAACACATGCAAGGCAGAATTTCTGTATGATCACAGAATTAGAGAAAACCTAAAAAAGAGGAATGAATTTTACCGGCTCGAAATGAGAAATTAATCGGTAGAAAATGTAGTCCTTGATGCCAGGATCTTCTGGACACTTCCTGATCATCGAACAGATGAATGAGGAGTAAGAATTTTTAGAGAGAAGTGAGGGAGAATGATGAGAAAAGAGTTTAGAGAGATAGACAGTGTTTTAGATAACGAGACAAGCTTTATAAAATTCTATTTATATTATAAGGTTATAAAATACTCGGTCTCATTATTTTAATACACCTATATACTCTAATACTCTATTTTCTAGGTTCTTATATTCTCCCCAACAACAAAAATTTTCGAAAATTAGACTTACCAGAGAACAGGTGAGAATAAGACTCTCTCATAACTCCCTATAACTCCCAATTAGAATCACCTGTCCTACTATCCCAGAAAACTTTGACTAGACTGATGGTTTTTCCTCTAAGTTGTTTGGTCTAGCTCTCCACAATCCTGACAGGCTGCACCTCTACGAAAAGATCTTCTTTGACATGCATATCCTCCACTTCTAGCACATGAGAGGGATCAGGCACATACTTCCTAAGCTGTGAGACATGGAATACTGAATGAAGATTAGCCAACTGGGAAGGCATGGCTATTTCATAAGCAACTGGCCTACACGTCTTAAGATCTGATAAGGACCAATGAACCTAGGAGATAGCTTCCTAGCACGAATAACTCTTCCTACACCAGTAGTAGGAGTCACTCTAAGGAAAACATGATCCCCAACTACAAATTCCAACGGTTTCCGTCTCTGATCAACATAGGACTTCTGCCTACTCTGAGATGCCCTCATCCTCTCCTGTATGAGCTTCACCTTCTCAGTCATCTGCTGAATTAACTCTGGCCCAGTCAACACAGACTCTCCCTCCAGGAACCAATACAAAGGTGTTCTACAACGTCTTCCATACAATGCCTTGAATGGTGCCATACCAATGCTGGCCTGATAACTATTGTTGTAGGTGAACTCCACCAACGATAATACCGCATCCCAGACTCCCAAATGATCCAATACACACGTCCTCAACAAATCCTCAAGTGATTGGATCGTCCTCTTTGATTGCCCATCAGTCTAGGGATGATAAGCTGAACTCATTTGTAGTCTGTTGCCCATCTCACTCTATAATGTTTGCCGGAATCTATAAGTGAACCGCGGATCTCTATCTGACACAATACTAGAAGGCACACCATGCAGTCTCACCACCTCTCTAATGTATAACTGTGCAAGCTTTGCCATTGACATTCTCAAATTCACAGCCAAAAAGTGAGCACTCTTGGTCAATCTGTCTACAATCACCCAAACCGCATCATTACCTCTAATCGTCTGCGGAAATTGAGTAACAAAATCCATAACTATGTTATCCCATTTCCACTCAGGAATCTCTAACTGCTGCAACAAACCACCTAGTCTCTAATGCTCCACCTTAACCTTCTGACAGGTCATGCAAGATGAAACAAACTGTACTACATCTCTCTTCATCCCAGACCACCAAAAAGATTCCTTGAGGTCCTGATACATTTTAGTCATGCCATGATGCATGCTAAAACGACTCTGATGACCCTCCTCAAGGATCAATTTCGTCAGCTCACCATCATCAGGAATATAGATTCTACCTCTAAACCTCAGAATACCATCAGCCCCCAAAACAGTCTCTGCCCTGATCTGACCCAAACAATCCCACTGATCTCTATAGCGCGACGTCTGACAACTGCTTCTCTCTGATGTGGCCCAATAAATTACTCGACACCACAAGACTACTACATCTGATACAATCTGACTCTAACTCCACCTGTAGTCTCAAATCCCTGAAGCTCTCTACCAACTCTAACTCTCTAACCATCAACACCGACACATGCACCGTCTTCCTGCTCAATGTATCTACTACCACATTTGCCTTCCCTGGATGATAAAGTAAATCAAACACATAATCCTTCAAAAACTCCATCCATCTCCTCTGCCTCATGTTCAGCTCCTTTTGATAAAAGAGATACTTCAAACTCTTATGATCACTGAACA